GTATGTAATGTATGAATATAATATACAAGTTTCACTTTTTAAATGGAATTACTGAAATAAATCTACTTTTTCATGATATTCTAATTTTATGACCAGCACCTGTATTTACTGAGAAAAATGGTGACGTGTTCAGTACTTATTTTACCCGCTGTATATATCCCCAGAACTTTGAATGTCTCACAGAGCTTTTTTAAATCCATTATTAGAAATGGAAACAGACGTGCCAAGAGAGCATCATCCACCAAAACTCACAGAGAGGGGAAGGAAGACATTATTTAGAGAAACGCCCAGGAGGACAAAGATAACCCTGATGGAGCTGGGAAATGAAGGATTGGTCCACAAGAACGCAGAGCTGGACTTCATGGAGGAGTACAGGGTTCCCACACCATGGTCAACATCAAATTCAAGGACCTTTCAAGGACTTTCCAATACCAATTTCCTCAAATTAAATGACCACGTGCAACGGCAATAAACAGGTTTAATATCATACAAATTCAATGAAAAACTGAACAACATAGAAATTGTTGAGTCCGAGTCAATGAAAGAAAGTGGATTAAATGTTTACTCTACATTCATAACGACAATACATGGAGATGTTATTGTGTCCTGGGAGGTTCGGCAGTTCAGTTTGGGAGGAGGGGATGTAAAAAAGTCCAGACCCTTGATGAGGACAGGAGGAGCTGTGGTGGTTTCACTTGGGCTCAGACAGAAAGACCCGCCCTGCTCTGCTATGATTGGCTAAAACTTTGACTATGGCTCACGTTATTTGTTGAAAGCCATGTCACTTTACCATAATCCTGAGTTTTCCACTGCAACAAATGTAAGTTATTTTAAACTATATATATATATATATATATATATATATATATATATATATAAGATGATGAAAATCAGTCGTGTGAATAGAAAATTTCAATTCCCAAAAAACATTCAAGGACTTTCAAGAACAAGCGTAATTTTTGGCTGTATTCACAAACTTCCCAGGGCCTTGAAATAATTTTTTCAAATTCACAAACTTTCAAGGATTTCAAGGACCTGTGGGAACCCTTGGAGTAGCAGAAAGCTGTTCAGGTTTAAAGGAATCTTGTTGAAATCTTCCAAAGATCTGAGACTGGGACACGTTCCTGCAGATTAATGACCCTAAACGCCTTGCTGAAGCAACACTTCACTGGTTTAAGGAGACTCAGTTAAAGGTCCTGGAATGGTTCAGTCAAATCCCAGAACTTAGTTTTGCCTGGGATCTCTGGTTTGATTTAATGACTGTTGGACCTGAACAGCAGCCATCCAACCTGAAGGACTTGACCATGAAGGAAGACCATGAAGATGGACCTGAAGAGACCTGATGCTGGAACTTCTCCAAAAATGTTCTGTGGAGGACCATGCCACCACCCCACGACCACCCACAGTTACACAAGCATTTATTGAAAAAACATAGTGACAACAAATAAATAAATAAAATAAAGACAGAACAGTAAAACCTCAATGATTTTTTAACACAACAGTGTGCGCACACATTGAGGGACACACACACAGACACCTGAGCAGAACCGAATAGAACAGAACCAGAGTAGAACCGAGAAGGGGCCGACAACTTGAGTTATAACAAAAGTAGGGAATAGTTTAAATTCATGCTCTTATTTTGAAGTGAATACGGTTTCCTGTCTTCCATGTTTTCGCTTCCTGTCACCAATATGTCCTGTACCCAGAACACATCGCTTCAGTTTTCCAATAAACAGTTTAAATTACTAATATCTCCTGCCTGCTTTCTGACCAAAGCCCTACCATAAACATAATAAAATAGCCCAGAAGCAGCAGAACTATCAATTCTCAACAACTGTTTAATTATCACTTTGAGCCAATAGTCTGTTTCAACAAATCATCTCCCCGTGTAACGCTGGAAAGTATACTGACATGCCTCTAGTTGAGTAGTATTATGCAAGAGTGACTCATTTTACAACTGGAATATGCTGGGATGAACAGTAATCATTAGCCTCTGCAAAGTTCTATCGAGGGCAAGTACATTAGAACTTACACAACTAACTTTTGAATTAACGCAGGCACCACTGAGTATATAAATAGACAGACACATCTAAGTAGCCATTTGCATAAGATGAACAGAAGAGTTCAGTGCTTCCTTTGCTCCTTGATGAATGCTTTGATTTTATCTGTCAGTGTTTGAAGTGACGTGTCTAATGGTTCACCTTCCCTCCAACCGTCTCACAGCTCAATATGTTGAACTGCAGGAAGTCCGGCTCCTCTGCAGCCTTTGCGGTTGTCCTCCTCTCTGACATGCTGAGATAGTTTTCCTGCCGTTTTCCAGACTGAGAACAAAAAGCCAAAGGCGGCTGCTCGTCCCACTGAAGCCTGAAGGAAAAACCTCACATGGCGTCATGTCTGCAGGCCAAAGTTCAGCAGCTGCTTGTTCAAACAGACTAATTACACAGGTGCAAGGTCATTTATGGCTTCAACATTTTAAAAGGACTGCTGAAGCATAAATGTTTAAATTTATTGTCTGAACATGTCAAAATGAAAATCAAATGCCTATAAATTCTCATTTATAAACAAAATAAAATTAGTGCTTGTTAAACCAGCAAGAAATCAGAACAAATATTAGCATAAATTCTTTTATTGGGGCTGAAAAACACGACATTTCTTACTGTACATTTAAAAATCATTTTATGACATGTCGCAGAGTTGTATTTATTAGTGCAGTGACAGAAATCAGTGACAAAAACTACTGTAAAGAATCTGTTTTCTCACAATAAATAAAATAATTTAACTCTTTAGAGTTCAACACAAAGTGGTCAATAAGCTCAAATAGAGTAACTACTATGTAATTACTAAAAACAAGGTTAACTCCAGAGCCAACCCTTCACAAGAGCTTGGCAATTATGTCCTGTTCAGTTATGTGTTGAAGCCCCGCCCCCATTGTCCCCCAGTCCTTCCATCAATTGGCTGTGGTCACCAAACTGTGACCTATCTGTTGTCACAACCAGACCCACCACACTGGTCTTCTTCTGACATGAGCATGAACCATCTGGCTCTGGATAAGTGCTTGGTGGTCATCTTTCAAAGCTTTGTTGTTCATACAAGATTTTTTTTTTTCACCTGCAGGAGATTTTCCTTCTACATCAGTAGAACCAGAGTCTGATTACATTTAGATCCTGGGACTAAATGTTCTCCCAAGAAAGATCTTATTTGTCACTAAGTGAACTCCTCAGTGAGATAAACCAGGATGTACTAAATGAGGTGGCCAGATAATCTGAAAATATGGATTAAGTAGGCAACACATGGAACACTTCAGCTAATAAAACTGTCAAAAAATAGATAGGTAGATGAATAGATGGTAGATTGGTAAATGGTAGATGGTATACGGATAGATGGGTAGATGAATAGATAGTAGATGAGTTGATGTATAGATGAATAGATTGTAGATAAATAGATGATATATTGGTAAATGGTAGATGGTACATGGATAGATAGTAGATGTATTGATGGATAGTAGTAAGATGGTAGATGAATAAGTGATAGATTGGTAGATGGTAGATGAATAGATGGTAGATTGGTAGATGGTAGATGAGTAGAAGGTAGACTGATAGATGGTAGATAATAGATGATGGTACATGGATAGATGGTAGAAGTATTGATGGGCAGATGTAAGATGGTAGATAAATAGATGGTAGATTGGTAAATGGTAGATGGTAGATGAATAGATGGTAGATGGTAGATAAGTAGATGGTAGATTGGTAGATGGTAGATGGATAGATGATTGGTAGATTGTAGATGAATAGATAGTAGATGGTACATGGATAGATGGTAGATGTATTGATGGGCAGATGTAAGATGGTAGATAAATAGATGATAGATTGGTAAATGGTAGATGGTATATGGATAGATGGGTAGATGAATAGATAGTAGATGGGTTGATGTATAGATGAATAGATTGTAAATAAATAGATGATATATTGGTAAATGGTAGATGGTACATGGACAGATAGTAGATGTATTGATGGGTTGTAGTAAGATGGTAGATGAATAAGTGGTAGATTGGTAGATGGTAGATGAATAGATGGTAGATTGGTAGATGGTAGATGAGTAGATGGTAGATTGGTAGATGGTAGATAATAGATGATGGTACATGGATAGATGGTAGAAGTATTGATGGGCAGATGTAAGATGGTAGATAAATAGATGGTAGATTNTTGTTACAAACTGACTCCGGGCCCCCACCAGAGAAGGGAAAAGTTATGTGGCCCTTACAGGAAAAAGTTTGGGGACCCCTGTGGTAGATGAATAGGTGGGTACATGAATAGATGGTAGATTGTAGATGAATAGATGGAAGATTAATTGATGGTAGATGGATAGACTGTAGATGAATAGATAGATGGTAGATGTAAGATGGTACATACAGTAAATAGATGGTAGATGTAAGATGGTAGATGAATAGATGGTAGATTGGTAAATGGTAGATGGTAGATGTAAGATGGTAGATGAATAGATGGTAGATTGGTAAATGGTAGATTGAAATATGGTAGTGATGGGTAGATAAAAAGATGGTAGATTGGTAAATAGTAGATGAATAGATGGTAGATTGGCAAATGGTAGATTGAAAAATGGTAGATTGATAGATGGGTAGATGGCTAGATGGATTTCAGTATTTATACAAGTGATTGTACCTTCATATTAACTTTAAAGTTGTCATATTTAGACATGATAATCCATAACCAACTCAGCCTACAGAGAACACAGGGACACTGAGGAACCAGACCAGAAACCAAAACTTGGGTAGACGGGTTCGGTAAATGATGTATTAAAGCTGTGGAGGTGTATCAATGTGTCTGAGGAGACTCCGTAGAAGGACAGAGTCCCAGCAGGATAGTCCAAGTACACTGCTACTCTGTTGGAGATGGATGTGGAGGAGATAGATGTTTCTCTGTTAATGTGCCAGGCAGAGAAACCGAATACATCAGAACACTCCAAACACCAGGACTGTTCGTTCCTTCCAAACCTGGACTCATGGCTCTTTCTTTTCCGACTGATTCCTCTGTAGCTCAGTGAAATGAGAACTCCTCCACTCCACTCCACCTCCCAGTAGCAGCGACCACTCACACTGTTCCTACACATCAGCTGCCAGCACATTTCAAATCGGTCAGGGTGATCCGAATACTGCTGCTCCACCTCCATCACTGTCATCTTCATGTTGTTGTCGAACAGCTTCAGCCTTTTGTGCATTGAGTTGGTGTCCACTTTAAGTTCACAGAAATCTGATGGGGAGACGGGAAAACAATTTCACTTGACTATTGGGAAATTTATTGCAAATTGTTTGTTTGTACAGATATAACTGATGTAAATATTTTTAGTCAAACTTACATTTACTGATGTCAGATATCAACCTGTGCTCTCCACCACCATCTAGCCTGTGAAAAGAAACAGACTCAGCATTTTTCTAAACCTGCTATTTAGTACAGCATAGTGGGTAGGTACAGAAGTACTTCATTAAACTACAGGTGTTTTCATTTTATTTGAAGTTATTGATTATATGAATTTCAAATATTAGATTGCATGAAATGTTGGAATCTTTATGTTGAATTTTGGACCTTAGGATCCCAACAGTCCTAGGGTCTGTGTTGCCTGGGGTGTCTGAAAAGTCACTCGACTTTTACGAAAGGAGCTCATGAGTGAGGTTGAAAAACCCATAACAAGCCTCTTCAAGTTGTCTGTTTCTACCTGAGAGTTTCCAGTCTCCAGTGTGGATCTTTCAGTTCAGAAGACAGCATCTTCTCTCCCAAGAGTCCAGGGTGGTTGTAGCTCATGTCCAGCTCTCTGAGGTGGGTTGGATTGGAACCCAGAGCTGATGCCAGAGAAGCGCAACCTTCTTCTGTGATCAGACAGCCTGACAGCCTGGAGCATAATAAACATCAAGGGTGTCAGAGGCATTAAATAGAGATGGTGTTTGTGTTTAAGCACCAGATGTCTCCTGACCTGAGGGTCTCCAGTTTACAACATGTACTTTCCAGTCCAGTCGACAGACGTTTTACTCCAGAGTCCATCAAGTTGTTGTCACTCAGGTCCAGTTCTCTCAGACTGCAGTTCTGAGACCTCAGGGCTGAAGACAGGGCTTCACAGCTTCTTTCTGAGAGATTACACCCACACAGCCTTTAAAAAGCAGACATAATAAAAAAGATATTACATTAAATTTAAATGAGAATGATCTTCATGACGATTGAACATTAATCCCGGAAATTTCTATTAAAACTTAATACTCACACAACAGTCTCTATTTTACATTGTGGACTCTCCAGTCCTAAAGATAACAGCTTTACTCCTGGGTCCCCCAGGTTGTTGTTAGTCAGGTTCAGTTTTCTGAGACTGGAGGTTTGGAAGCCTAGAACTGAGCCCAGAGTCTTACAGCTTTGCACTGAAAGGTTGCAGGCCTGCATGCTGTAAAACAAAAGCCGAACATGAAAAGGTCTTCCCTTTAAATATTTAATCGATTCAATTTAAATCTTCTTTCTGACCTGATAGTGTCCAGTTTGCAGTGAGGACTATTCAGTCCAACAGAAAGCAGCTTCACGCCGGTATCCTGCAGGTTGTTGTTGTTCAGGTAAAGCTTCCTCAGACTGCAGCTCTGATAGCCAAGGATTAAAGAAAGAGTTTCACAGCTTTCCTGGGAGAGGTCACATCCATTCAACCTGAAACAGGAAAGGGAAACTTGATGTCTTATGAATTTATTAGTATTTTTATCTTCATCTGAGTGTGATATTCATCTAAAAACAAGTTTATTAAGGTCCTTTCATACTGGATGACTTTCTATAAGACCTATTAAAACATGCAATCAAGGCACTGTCATGCTTTTAGTCACCAAACAGGATTTTTCTGGTCATCAGGATCACTGAAACATCAAGTCACCAAACCACCACAGTTCTCTCATCAGTACTAGACTGTTTTATGGCATTACCTCATCATGACCAGTTTTATTTACTTTTTTTACACCCATGCAAATGCATCATCGTTACACTGCCACCTGTCTTCCTAAAAGCACCCAGAACCTCAGTACTGAAGCTCCATAGTTGCTCAGAACCCTCCATCACCCTCCAGGTCTTTGAAGGACCTGGTCTACCCAAATCTAGGCGGGTCGAGTCCTTCGAAGAACCCAAACCCTGAGTTTGGAAACAGCCATGGATGACTGAGAACGACTTGGCTGCTGACCTGAGAGTTTCCAGTTTACATTGTGAACTCTGTAGTCCAGGACACAACAGGGTCACACCCATATCTGTCAGGTTGTTGTTACTGAGGTCCAGTTCTCTCAAACTGTAAGACTGTGAGGAAAGTACTGAGGACAAAGCTTTGGAGCTTCTCTTGGTGAGGTTGCAGTCACTCAACCTGGAATAGAATTTACAATGAACACAAAAAGGGAATGCTTAATTTGTGCTGTGAGAATTTAAAATATTAGAAACCAGTCATTCGTCCACCTACAGAGATCTGTTGGAGGATTTGACCACCGGCAGCAGCATCAGGAGAGCCTCCTCTGAGGCAGAGTACTTTTTCAGGTCAAACACATCCAGATCTTCTTCTGATGACATTAAGATGAAGACCAGAGCTGCCCAGTGAGCAGGAGACAGGTCATCTGTGGAAAGACCTGACCTCAGGAACTGTTGGACCTCCTCCACCAGAGAACCATCATTCAATTCCTTCAGACAGTGGAACAGGTTGATGCTTCTCTCCTCAGATAGGTTCTCTGTGATTTTATTCTTAATGTACTCAACTGTTTCCCTGTTGGTCTGAGAGCCATTTCCTGTTTGTGTCAGCATGCCTCGTAGAAGACTCTGATTGGCTGGCATAGAAAGACCCAGGAGGAAGCGAAGGAACAAGTCCAGATGACAGTTTGGGCTCAATAAAGCTTTGTCCACAGCACTGTAGTGGAGATTTTTGATTTTATGTTTATTTTTAAAGACTTTGGACACCTTTGGTGGTGGTTGTTGTTCTTCCAGCAGGTTGACTCCAGAGGTGACGAAGGTCAGGTGGACATGAAGAGCAGCCAGAAACTCCTGGACACTCAGATGGACGAAGCAGAACACTTTGTCCTGGTACAGTCCTCTCTCCTCTCTAAAGATCTGAGTGAAGACTCCTGAATAAACTGAGGCGTCTCTGACATCAATACCACACTCTGCCAGGTCTGATTCATAGAAGATCAGGTTTCCTTTCTGCAGCTGATCAAAGGCCAGTTTTCCTAAAGACCCGATCACCTTCCTGGTCTCTGGACTCCACTGTGAGTCTGTCTCTGCTCCTCCGTAATACTTGACCTGCTTTGCTTTGGTCTGAACCACCAGAAAGTGGATGTACATCTCAGTCAGGGTTGTGGGTAGCTCTGGTTCATTTTTGGTTTTCAACAGATCCTCCAGAACCGTTGCATTGATCCAGCAGAAGATGGGGATGTGTGACATTGTGCCCAGGTTTTGGGAGGTCTTGATGTAGGAGACAATCCGGCTGGCTACCTTCTTATCCGTGAACCT